CAATTTAGAATGTTGTCTTGGCAAGAAAATTACAAAAATACAAAAATAATCAAAATTTTTATTGCAATTCTAATTTTCAGAATATTACTATTATTATTATTGTTATTATTATTATTATTATTGTTATTATATTTTACTTTACATTATATTTTAGTAAAATATATATTGAAAAATGAGCGAATCAGAATCTGAATATGAATACGCTGTCGGAGAGCGGCTCACAAGGAACAGATAAGTCGTAAGTGATAAGTAGAAAAAGGATATATTTTATACTTGAATAAGTAAGTGTTATAGCTTACAATCCCATGTAAATGATAAATATCAATAAAACGATTGTTTTTTTTTTGCTTTCACATTGTTATTTTCAATTCTCGATTGCATTCGAGTGTGAAAAATTATAGCAACATAAAGTACAACGCCGCTCGAATTATCTCGAGTGTGCTCAGTTTGGCCAGTTTAGCGCGCTCGAGTTAACCCGAGCGTGCACGTTAAGGGGTTAATTTGCCCATTTGAAAGATATTTCAATTGAATTTGTCGCACTCGAGACAACATACGTTCGGTATAAAAGTCCACGGACCAGCGATAATTAGTTGTCAAGAGGCAGCACACTTTGCAAGAGTGCTATAAATAGGATCATGCGAAATAGTTGCTAAATTGTAGTTCTTTCATATTGGAAAATCAATTGCGGTGCTCCTCCGCTCGTTATCACGAGGTTCAAGGTAAACTTACCAACCTGCGATAGATAATAGGCTTCAAAATTCGCGACCTAAGAATGCTCGCTATAATGGTCTGTGCTCTCGACTCGAAGCACCACAAGGTCGGCCAAAATTTGTTCCTAACCAGAGGCACGCGTTCCTCGAGGAATGATCGAAACGGTCCGTTCGCGCAGACCAGCATCGGCGTCTGAAAATTATATCACTGGATTAGCGTTTTCTTAATGTAATTCTAAATAGATCGAAGCTCTTTCTATCTCCATAACGCGTGTCACACGATCTTCATTAAAAGTGATATTTCACGCATTGTCATCCTTGCATATATGTATGCATTAATTATTATTCATGTTTATTCGGACTATGAAAACGGTAACACGATTGATTAGGTAATACGTCCAGTGTATAAATTCCGTTTGAAAACGGTATTCTTTTCCCACGATCCGATTAAATCGGAAAAAAGCCCGGCGTGCCCGAGCAAGCGTTGTATTCATGAACAAATCTGCCTATTCAAACATTTGCATTATTCTCGACTGGCTTATTCGTCGGTGCGTTCGAGTTACCTGTTCCGGTTTTCGCGTAGAGTGCGCGCGCATCCAGGCACCGGCGCGCGCGCAATTTGTCCGGGGCGAGTGCCACAGAGTTTTAAGGTCAAATTAATGTACCGTGCATCTCCTCGTGGCATCGCCATGGACCACGAAAGGGTCGTGCGACTCGCCGAACGATATTCGTATAATAATATCGCTGGATCTTCGACGAAGTTGCACGATAAACTGATTTCGAACTTTGGATCACCTCGATATTTCGTATCAGTCACGCTCCTGATTCACACTTCGCCGAAAACGAAATCGAGACGGTTAATCTCGCGATAACGCGAACTCCGATATTTCTATACTTTAGCAAATGTAAACCGTTTCGCGTTTGCAACTGAATGGCAGACATTATTTCGTGCGGATGAAGATACGTTTGAATGAAAAAAAATAATAATAAAGCGTTAGGAACAATGAATGAAATCGACAGATCACAATTTGGAACTGTTCACCCCCGAGGGTCGCACGAGCGTTAAAACTGAACGCCGGTATCGCCGCGGACAGTTATTCATGTAAGAAATGCCAAAGGTTGCAATATCGAGGACAAATTGATAATCACGAATAAAAGCGACACGACGTAGATTCCAACAATTAATGCCGATCCGCGACGGGGACCGCAGAAACGATTTATACTTTGTTTTCTCCCCGGCGTGTATAATCAGGGAAACGAATGCGCGTCTTCGACGTGTCAATAACCCTTTCATCGCCACGGAAATCAATTGACCGCGCGAAATTCTCCAGACGAGCGTACTTTTTTTTGATCCGTTCAAATGGTAACTTCAATAGAATCAAGGCAGTCCCGATATAGGCGCGACTCTGAACCAAACGCGGCGTTGATTGAGCTTAATGAAGGTTAAAAGTCTGTGCATAAGCGGTAACCGTCTGCTCTATGGTACAGTCTAAAAATTTCAATTACTATTCAAAGTCCGGAACCGATCCGAATAGGAAACACCCGGTACGTTGCCACCGTGATAAAATAATAGTAATTTCCCGTAACCCTGGTCGTTCGAGTTACTTAACCTTTTTCTGTCAACAGCCACGCTCAGCCTGCGTTCTCGAATCTTTCTAATAAGAGAGAACCACGTTGTCTCCTATCTTTTGGGAATGAAAACGAAACACGGCAACAGTCGAAAAATTTCGATCGGGGGAGCAGACAGTTCGCCGGACCAATCCGGCTAAAAAATCGTACACTCGATCCGGAGGACGCGCGTGCGGCGCATACAGTATGCAGAGAGCAGCGTCTCGAATAAAACAACCAAAGAGATATCTGTCGCCGCAATGCGCGCTCGATTCGTCGATGATGCAGCTTCCTCATTCATCTACCGGCGGGTCCGGCGAGTGAAACGTCGGACGTTCGTCGGGGAAAAACATTGTCGGATGTCGCGAGAAATTGTCGGATAGGTTGTGCGGCTGCAGGGGGGAGTGGAGAAGTTTGGATGATCGATGTGCCGACGTTACTCACTTTGACGACTTCGAAAAGATAATACACGCAGAATCCGAAGCCCAGCAGCGCCCCGTAGTAGACCGTCGGGATGTCGAGGAGTGGCTCGAGCATGTTCTCCATCGCTGTAACTCTATCGATACGTCCGACAGACTGCGGGCAATCTTGCGACGTGAACGCGCCGGTGTGTCCGCCAGGTCCGTTGACAATCCTTGCCCGTCGGATGCCGGTAGCCAACAACCGATCGCCGACGGTTTCGCAGAGAGCCGCGCGTCCACGCGCATGACGTTCAAATAATTGGACGGCCAACTAGCTTACTAGCATTACGAGCGACCGATAGCCGATAGTCGCCGAGACTATACAGATGTTCGCTATAGATACACCGAGGATTCGGTCACGTGCGCACGAGCGGATCCGCTCCCACACTTATGAACTGGCTCTCTTGTCCACGCTACCAGCCCACATCGATACGAGAGAGAGAGAGAGAGAGAGAGAGAGAGAGAGAGAGAGAGAGAGGGAGACAGAGAGAGAGAGAGAGAGAGAGAGAGAGAGACGCGTCTTCCGTCTCTCTTCCTCTCTCGACTCTCCTCTCTTTACGCCCCCTGGGTTGCGTCTCCGTGACAGAGTTATGTAACGACGACGGCGTGAACTTTTGTATCGGCACTCTGTGGTAATGCAGCTGCACTTGTTTCGGCCAATCCACGTCAAACGGTGCAAATGCGGTCATCGAGGGCCCACGGTGATCGTTTCTGCAGGGATTAGACGGTCACCGATAATAATAAAATGTACCGTTAATCCTCTCCGCGTCTCCAAAGCCCCTTGGGACATAATAGTTTCCTTTATTTCTTTGATGAATAATGCTATTTTTCTTTTTTTTTTACAAACTACCTGGGTGCCCGGATACCTACCCATATAAGTATTGTATATTAGTATGGACGATGATTCATTGTTTTCTTTGATGAATCATATGCGACAACACAAACAAATGGAATGGCGAAAATACGTTTTTACTTGACTCATAATCTGCATGATCACGCTTCAACGGGAATCGATAACAGCACGATGCGATTTTTAGCTAATCAAAGATTTGGGAAAATTTCGAACCGATATCTAATATCGATAAGTCGAAAATCATCGAGTTCGATAAGATCGATAGGCGAATAATTCAAAATTCTTGGCAAAGCATACGTTTCTTGTCTAAGTGATATTGTTTTTGGAGTTATCAACACTGTCGCGCGTTGCAAGAGCAGACACATGAAATTAACACAAATTAAAAGGATTAACATAGATTAAAACTAGAGGATAAGGCTTAAAATACTCTGTTCCGAGTGAAAATTAATGAGGAACTGGAGCATAGGCTCAAGTCAGCTGGGAGAAAGCGGTCGGCAGCTTTTTTTAAACTCGTTGCGCTGTAGTCTCATTCATTTTCAAATGCTGCAATTCTGAATCTCGGGTTTCCTCTTTCTGGACACCGAGATACGCTTGCGGTTATTCTCGCGGCTAAGATCACCGTATGATCAAGTAAATAACGATCCATGCGCTCTGCTTTTGCTGATTTGCAACAATACGATAACAATTACCGGTGACCAGACACCATTAATTTTTTACTCTTGCTAATATATACATATATATATATATATATATATATATATATACAGACGTCCATGATGCACGAGCTTAGATAACGACTGTTTTAATATTTTTCATAACTCTCGAAATATAGTAATATATCATTAATTTATTAGGTTGAAAACTATGAAACGGGCGTTTTTGTTTAGTCTGCGTTCAGCTGCGACTGAGAGAGGTTCATTGTAACGTGCGCTCGATGTTTTTATTTATAAATTTTAACGGTGTTCTTCTTACTCATTTCGTAAAATTTTTTCGTGTTTGTAACCTATTTTTACTTTATTTTTCTCAGAAACCAGATGGAAACATAGCGCAGCTCGAGCTTCGAGAAACATTAATCACACATTCGGAGATGGATTGACTAATGAAAAAAATGCTCGATATTGGTTCCAAAAATATATATATTATATATTTTTGGAACCAATATAGAGCATTTTTTTTATACAATATATGTTATATATTTTTGGAACCAATATCGAGCATATATATTGATTGTATATTGAATATAATAATGTGAAAAATTGCGCGTTTTGTTTCGTATTTTTATTTAACAACCGTTTCGTATTTAACAATAGTTTCCAAGCTAATAGTAGTAACGGGACATGCTGGTTGGTAATAGGCTGATAATACTTAAATGTGAGTGCAATAAAGATAGCAGATAATTGATCTAACATTAGTTGAGATAAAGTTGTTTACATTACAAATATACAATATAACTGTTAAAGCAATAGGACACTGGTTATCGGTTTATTTGTACTGCGTCGACATAGAAGGTATTTCAAGGAGAATAGAATGACTGTGTTTTTGAACTCCTGAGACAAAATAGCAAACGCGTACCAAGAAAAATGACTCCTTTATTAAACAGTCTTGTACATTTTATGAACATAATGGCATCGATGGCTGAGTTCACTTGTGCTGATCTCAGGAACGCGACTTACAGTCTACTATATTAATTGAGACAAGATTTTCATTGTCTCATTTATGTGCAATGTTCCCGTCATTGGTAGATCTCGTATCGGAATAAGCTTCATGGAAATGTAGATCTTTATTTTATCTGTATGGATTACCGAAGACAAAGGTTTAACAGAACTTCCGTTTCTTCTCTAAAGGTGTTCGCTGCGTTTGATCTCGAATAAAAGACTGGTCGATTATTTAATTATTCCGTACGTAGACGTATGGTTTATAAATGCGTAATCTTTGCAGTCTATTTGCGGAATTGGTACAGAGAATCCTCTGATGATACCTGTCGGCACCACCTCACAAAAAACCGTGTTTATCGTGGTAAGTATACATCCGCAAGGGAATCCTCTGAGGAGAGAAACGTTTCTTGGTGTATCTTAGCATGATCGGTAACAAAAGATAAGAAGTAGATTACGGCACGGTTAAAGTCTTGAATGGATGATTAATAACAAAAGATACTAGAGTGTTCTTCTGTAATTGTTCTAATTGAGAAAAATTAACACTTATAGAAGTATCAAGACTTTTACGATGATACAACGCTGTCTATAGCGAATATATTGAATGATAGTAACTTAATAAATATGTAATAAAGAACAAATAATAAACGAACATTATAGGCTTGGATAACGTTTGGCTTGTTCTACTTCAATCGATCTGGAAGTCGGGTGAGTTAGGCGATCAGTTATCGTATACAGAAGTTTAATCGGTGTAACAAACCTCGATTTCTTTTTATGCGGCGAGGATCTGAGTTTCTTTTTTTTTTTTAGTGCAGTGAGTCTCTGACAAAGCTCATAGTCTTATATAACACACTTTCATTGCCGGACAAGCGTGGAAGGACTTTGTACTAAGTTGTAACACACGAAGTAGACAAATATTACTAATTATTCTTCTTTGAAAAAAAAATTCTTTTCGAACTCTAAGACCTATTAATATTCGACTGACTTCATCCTATGAATAAAGTATCTCAAACAACAGAACGCACGATTCAATTCGACGCAAAAATAGTGATACGACTGGCTAACTTTCATTCGCGAAGACATACTCAGACATATCAATCAGAGAAATCAGTCGCTTCACACGCAACAACTTAACAATTGTTAATCACGGCGCGCTTACATGAGCCAGCCGCCGCGACGGAGCTGCAACGGAGCTGCAACTTTCGAGAACTTTCGACAACTTCGTCACGAGTTCAAGAACTTCCGCTCAAGAAACTTTATCCGGTCTTGTTATATGTGTCCTCTGTCAATATTACAATTTTCGCGCCTTCATTTTCAACGCCGTTGCCCGCTTTGATTGAAGTTCAAGGACTGCGCTGCGGGATGGACCAATGAGAGTACGATCGCGTGACAAATTGAACTATCATTAATGTTTGCACCGAGCCTATCCTTATTCCGAACGATTGACTCCGTTACAATAGTCAACCGGAAGTCCTTGGCAGCGGATACTCGGAACAACGGAAAGAAATAACGAACTGGATCGACGGAAAAACGCTAACAGGAAGAATCCAGCACCGAATTCGAGGGATCAACGTACGAATCGTGGAAACTGTCAGACGTTTCGATATACAAAGACTAGCAACACGTAAAGGACTAGGATCATTACGATGATTAGCACCCTTCGTCACGTTCGGCGTCTTGATCGATCCGAGAAGCTATACATAGATCGCCTATTTTTGAACGCTCCTCGTGTAATTATGCAACCGACAAAGTCCAAACCCGTTCGACGATGTATCTACCAAAAGACAGATGGCAAACTTATATACAATTCGCTCTCGGGAGCTTATTAAAACTATTTCAACATCCTGACATGGTCTGCGTGACTACTACCGATGCACCCTGTTCTTACGTCTATAAAAATAAAGTTGTTGTACATCGCGGAAGTACAAGACGTCTTGCGTAAGGTATCAATTTTCGTACAAACTTTGTCAACGTGTTTCACTGAAGTTAAAAAGACTTTTGAATTCGCGCGCGTCACGAACGTTCTACAAAAGATACGAATATGATCGAAATTCATCTTATCTCTAAGAGTACGGCTGCGCTAACAAAGTCCATAGAAAAATCTGTCGTACGCTCAACCCTCTGTTAAACAAGGTTTCAAGAAGGTCGACTGCACGATCTGTGTATTGGAAGATCTTACTGGTAACAAATACAGGATAATAGTCGCGAGAACACGCCGCCTGCGAGAAGGTGCGTTAGAGCTCGGTCTTGGGATCGCGCACCTTGCCTTCGTAGGCGTACACAAGTGGCTGTTGAAACTGCTTCCAATATCATGAGCTGTGACCGCAGTTCGACTCGCGGACGTATTTCGCCCAAGTGCGGGTGGGGGTCATGTCTCCCTTTCGAAGTCGGCGCTGGTCGCCGGTCGCCTGGTCCACAAGGTTGCGATAGGTCTCCTTTTCGTAGGTGCAGGTCAGACTCCTCCTCAGTTTCGCGGCGCCGGTCTCGAAGCTGGCCGGCTGGCTGCCTACCAACACGTGGAGATCGTTCTTTACCTGTACGGCCCAGTCCCACATGTCCGCAACAGAGCAATTGCAGACGAACGGATTGCCGAGTAGGTTCAAGGACAGAAGACGGGGGTTCAACTTGATGACCTGCGGATTGATGGTGTTGAGATTGTTATTGCTGAGATCCAGGTGCTGCAATCCACGCAGCTTCTTTAAGCAAGCCAGATTCTGGGCTCCCGAGATGTTGTTGCCGGACAGATTCAGCTGGGTGATATTCCTGGTGTTGTCGAACAGGTCCTGGTTCAGATGCACCAGGTTACAGTTGCTGAGGTCGAGGATCTCCACGTTGGACAGCTGGCTGGATAGAAAAGTGCCGTCCTCTGGAACTTCCAGCGGGTTTCCGCTGAGCTTCAGCTCGACTATGTTCGTCTTCTCGCGTTTGCCGAATCCTTTCGAATCTAAAGGAGACTTGAGATCGCAGTTATTGAGCTCGAGGCTCTCCAGACGCGTCAGATTGGCGAACAGGCCCTCCTCCAGGGTGTGCAGCTTGTTCCCGGACAGTATCAGCTTCTTGAGGGTGGTCATGTAGGAGAAAGTGTGGTTGCCGACGTAGCCGAGGTCGCAGTAGGACATGTCCAGGTATTCTAGAGACTCCAAGGGATTCAAGAGGCCGACGAACGCGTCAGAGAGAGGATTGTGAGAGATGTCTAGCTCTTGCAGGTGTTCGAAGACGTCGAAGGCGTTCGGCAAACGCTTCAAGCTGCAGTTGCTCAAGGAGAGCTTGTGAAGCTTCGGCAAGTGACGGAGAACGGCGCTCAGATCGGCTGCGAACATCGGGTTACCGCTTAGGTTCAGCACGCGAAGCTTGCTGGCGTTTCTGAACGCCTCTTCGGACAAACGATCTTGCAAGTTGCAATTCGACAGATCCAGCGACTGGAGGCTGTGCAGATTATGACCAAGAGTGTTGCCCACGTCCAGGTGGCCCAACTCGTTGTCGGCGAGAATCAGCTGCCGCAGGTACGGGTTCATGGCGAAAGCGTCGCCGGGCAAATTGACGATTCCGGTCTTTCGGATGTCCAAGTGCTCCAAACGGATCAGGGAAGCCAGCACATTGGTCCAGCTCAAGGTGCGCAGATCGTTGTCTGCCATCTCGAGCTCGCGCAAGTTCTCCAGGTGAGCGAACGCGGCGGGTGACACATAAGTCAAGTTACAGGAATTCAGTTTCAGGTACTCTAAATTGGTCAGATGATCGAACGGGCCTGGTTGTATTCTACCCAGAGGGTTGTGGGAGAGATCGAGTTTGTTCAGGTTGGTCGTATTGTGGAAGAACCGAGTATTCAAGTGGCGAATACCGCAGGAGTTCAGGTCCAGATACAGCAGGGTGCGACAGTTCAAAAAGTGATCCTGCACCTCGGCCAGAGGGTTGTTCTGGAGCTCTAAGGTAATCAGGCCCGGACTGTCACTGTTGAAGGATGCAATGAAATTAGTTCCAAAGAAGAAATCACATAAATTCTTATTTCACGAGAGCGGAACTCACCTGAACGCCTCAGAGTCGACGTGGGTGATACCGTTCCACGAGAAATCAACCTCGAGCAAGTAAGTCAGCCCAGCGAACGAATGATATTTGAGTTCGGTCAAACGATTGTGGGCCATCTGTAGACGCCTGATTTTAATCGAATTTGGGAATGGCTCGATCTTCGCTATGTTGTTCCCATTCATATCGAGGACGTAGACATTAGGGCTGAGCTCGTCGTAGGGGATGCTCGTCAAATTGCTTTCGGAGCAGTCGGTCACCCAGTTGACGCGAAAATAATGACAGTGACAGTCCACCGGGCATTCTTGCTCCACCAACTCGCCGTTGTAGGCCAACGTCGACGATGCCAGCAGACCGGCTACTATCAACAACAGCCCCGACATCTTGGCGGTGATATCTGCGAAAATACATTGCATTTATTAAAATCCTGCGCTCGTTGAAATCCTTGTCGCTGTACTGCACACAATTGGCTTCTCCGTTCCGATCCGATTACATAAATCACAGTTTTCTCGATCGAACGAAAATAAAAAGGATCCGGACAAACGTGTATTCTGTCGCGAGGATTAAATGCATCGGCTCCTCCTGCATCTGGTGCAGTGTACAAGTTATTGTGCAGCGTATGCACGGAGAAAGGAGGGGAAAAATACCGGTGCCGCGGTTTACGTCGAACCCGAAGCAACGTCGTTGCTCATTGTAGTGCATTGCCAACAAGATAACTGGCGGGTACTAATGGCTCCAAGCAAGTGGAGCAATTGTCAGTTAGGAACAGAGTTCGCAATTGACGGCCGGTAATTCCGAAGCAACAATGCACGGCGCCACAGGTCGTTGAGCCAGAGCCTTCAATCGTTTCCGTATAAAGCACCTTTTAATGCCGTCCGCTGCTTTCGCGCACAATGCGACAACGGAACGGAATTTAAAGAGTTCATCTCCTCATTCATCGGATCGTTATTATCATTCAATTCGCCCTGAACTTCCCGCCGCGAAACACGAGCAGTCGACGAGCAGGCGATCGATAAGATCGCGAAACATTGCAACGGGAGACTCGGTTCGGCTCCGGTAATTCGACCGGAACCGGGATTCAAATTAAACGGCAAAAACGTTACGGAAGACGAATTATACGTGCGCGCTCGCGGTGCACAGCCGATGCTGCCACCCACTCCCCGGCTATTACGATCGGTCCGGCGATCAAACACGCGCAACTAATGGAAGTAATTTGTAGGCATTAAATTCCAAGCGCAATCATCCTCATTAGAACGGTGGGGGGGGGGGGGGGGGGGATT